TGTGTGTGTGTGTGTGTGTGTGTGTGTGTGTGTGTGTGTGTGTGTGTGTTTCTGTAGAGAGAGAGAGGGTGATGGTGAGGGAATAAGGCAATGATGACCAAAGAGAGACAACTGCGGGGTATACGATATGCACACGGGTGTAAATGATTGCACGGTTGTGTGTGTGCGTCCAGTTTTGTATATATTATGCCTGGGATGCCTGTCCCTCCAGCTGTCTACTGCCAATACAACACCCTGCAGATGTAGTTTGAAGCTGCAGAGTCTTTTTTCCGTGGTGCCACACTGACAGCTTATGGTGCTTTACAGAAACTACATGATGTCGTTTTTAATTTACAAGTGTCTGAATGACAACGCGCCAATACAGGACATTTTGGAGTGCTGTAAACCTTTTACTCATATAGCCCAAAATCACAAAGGGCATTAAAAACACCCTCTATCTTTAGACCCTTCATTTGGAAAAAGAAAATCTTCCCCCAAAACCCCCTTAGTGAGCAAACATAATGGCACCAGGACAGACGGACATCTGTCATTTACAGAAACGACCAAAATAGCAAAATTACATTTTTATAAATTGTCGACAGACACTAGCTGGAAACACATTTTATTTGTTCACTATACTGGACTCCTTAACTCAATATAAAGGAGGACATAATGTGATATGTAAAATTGTCAGAGCAGTTTGAATGTGTTTTGTTTGTGTCATAAGTGTAACTGTATTAACCTGGGTGTAAATATCTTGAACAGAACTTTATTTTCCGTAATTTATTTAATTGTAAGCTGACAATAAAGATTTATGCTATCATATATACGGTGCTATAAAGGCTATGCAGTTTTATGTAGAGCTGCTAGTCAGTTCAAGTCCATCTTACTTGCCCACACTCACCCATTGGTCTGACTCACCCATGCACTCTCCCCTCCATTTGTTAATTCATCCACTGGACATGTCTGTCTCCCCAGGTGTCCTCTCACCATTCATGTTATATTTATAGAGCCTGTTGCTGCAGGTAATATTTCAATCCATCCCTGCCTTTTTATTGGACATCCTTGAATGTGCCGTTCGAGTTGAAATAGTTGGCACATAGATGGAAAGATATAAAAGACAAGAAGAAATGAGCAAAATGAAATGAGCCTCCGGCTGAAGCTGTTTGACTAAATTGAAACATCTTGCAAGAGGCACGATACCACATTGTATTATATTATCAGTCACAGATGGAGAGATGTAAATCTGAACCCGATTGCCTGACTTTACCACACAGCCTTGGCTAATGCACATTTGGCCTCGAAAGGGGCATCTGAAATGGGGGAGGGCATGAAGAAGTCATAGAGTTTGCATCCAAATATCCCGTCCAAGAACCCGTAAAGAATCAAACTATTTGTCAGTTTCACTAATAATAATAAGTATAGCCAGAAAGTCACTTGAGGCTGTGGTCTACGTGCGTCACCAGAAAACGTATTTGGTGAAGCTTTTATTAAGAAATCAGGAGGATGTGGGTATAAGAGAGGACGCGTAAGCGATGGAAAGAATATATTGATGTGGTGATTTCAACATTTGTCACAAAAGAGTTTTGTGTGTGTGTGTGTGTGTGTGTGTGTGTGTGTGTGTGTGTGTGTGTGTATGTGTATGTGTGTGTGTGTGTGTGTGTGGAGGGTTCTTTAGACTGTAATCAAGGTAATTAGCCATAATTACTGTAGTTATAAATAGAATGGAATTAAAGCTTTCAGACGTGAGAGATGTGGTGAAAAGGTGTTCCACACGGCTGGAATAATCTCAACCCATGGCAGGACTCTGCCTTTCCCCTATTGTGTAGCACCCTCGTAAGACACTGTTCTAATCATGACTCGATGCTTACAAATGCAAACAGCTGCTGTTATTCAATCAATAACAACATAAAGTTCAATATGGCATCCGAGCATTCTTCACATCCTGCCACATCGTGAGTGCAATTAATAGTAAATATATGAATTGTCATGAACACAGTTATGCTCATCTGACAGAGATCATAAAATGAGGTGCTATTACAAAACAATGGACAGATGATGCAGCTGTGCCACACATCGTATTTAATTGACTTCTCTTTCAAATGGTGGATTTCTCTCTTCTCGTGTCTCTTACTCGCCTCCCCCGCTTGCATCTCTCATAAGGCGGGATTAAGATGCGAGGAAAGGAGGCGAGGACAGCAATCAAGGACACATGTTGGCATATTGAAAGGCACTCAGTGTTTCACTGAGAAAGGCTGTAGTCTTTCTGGCACCAGAGGGCGCTCTTGGCATGATTTTAAAATGTAGAAACCATAAAAAGTCAAACTGCCTCCAAAATCTTCAAGCCCCAGCTTTAATGTTTTACTATTTCTCTACTGTAGTAGAGACTTACTAAGAACATAGTCATCAAAGGTACTTTATTCTCACATACTGAATACTTTCTGTCCAAAAGGCACATTTAACATTCAGTAAACTCATACACTGCTCTTTTTTCTCTTGAGTTATCGTGTGTTTTCATGTGCTTTTCATGTGCTTTTCATGGAGTGTGTCTCTTTGGACTCCTGTTGTGCTATTTTGCTCCTCTGTTTCATGTCAGTTTTTGACGTGTTGATCTCTCATCCACAGATCCGAGGCTTTCTTTCAAGGTTCGACAATGTCCTGCCTGCAAGCATGGCCTTCGACAAATGCACTGCCTGCTCACCCATTGTAAGTAGCATGGATTGTAACTGACTAGTGTCTTCAAAACCAGTTTACTAACAAGACAGTGTTTAGACAATATATAAGAAAGATTGCCGCGTAGTTGCAGATAAGCAGGCTCTGATTTACTTATCAGATCAGATTATTTTACTATGTAACAACATTGTTTTAAAGCAGAAATTGCAGACTTAGCAGAGATAGGGGGATTCCCATCCCTCGCATTTCTAAGTCATTAGAGCTGTTTTGAAATGTTACCCCTTGAGGAATACTGAACACACACACAAACACACACACACACACACAGGGAAAAGCTGGTAAAACCATATGGTAACAATCAGGCAGCAGTTGCACATTGACTGTCGTATGAGTGGAATTAGCTCCCACCACTGCAGTGTGTGTGTGTGTGTGTGTGTGTGTGTGTGTGTGTGTGTGTGTGTG